ATTTCATCTCATCTTATTTTATTGTTTTATATGATTCTGTTTTATTTCATCTCATCTTATTTTATATGATCTAAAGTGATGTATTTATCAATCTATTTTCATACTCGTTTCGATAGGTTTTCTTTTTCTATTTTAATATGCATATTCATATACTAATGAATATGTATAAATTAGTGCAAGATAGTACAAATTGAGAATAACATAAATTGAAGTAATTTGCTGTTGTACTTCGAAACTGTTCAATAATATTTTCATATCTATGATGTTAAAAGTAGTTGGACGTAACCAGAACTAGATGTCAGCGTAATATAAATCATATTAATAAATCAATACATGAACACATAGAGTGCTGGTTACCATATTTCTTCAGTTTCTTATTATTTTTCGTTATATAATACAATTAGAATATATTAAAATCGACTATGCATCATATGATAGGTGTTATATGTACGTTGTATCTAACTCGATTAAGGATAGAGTCCGATGAAATCTTGTCGAGGTTTTATGATTTTCAAATGTAAATTGTGTTTTGTTTTTTTCTCATTTCATAACGAGTGTCATATTAAATGTTAAAAGATGACTTTTTAAACTGCCTTTTTGCAATCAATCGTAGCTATTTGTAAAAGGTCTTCTTTTTTGATTCTTTATCATAAATAAAATGCAATTGATACCTATCATAAAGTGAGAAAAATCTCGACATACCGATTATGGAGGTAAAAGAAAAAGAAAAAGAAGGATTGTATATAAGAAGATGGTTACCATTTAATCCTCCATATTTTTTTAAAACAAAGACGGCATACTAATAAATAATCAAAGGTATGGATATTATTTCAAAAGAGTCATAGGAGTAGTTTTAAAATATTGAAGGTCTGTAAAAAAAAAGAACAAGATTCGAACCATGTTTAATAGGATGATATAAATTTTATCATTCGATTTTATTTGGATTATGACTGTCAATTATCCTACAAAGAAGTTGTTGATAAAATATTCTTTAGACTTTGATCTCTTTGTTAGATCAAGGTTCCACTCGTACCAAGATAAACCAGTCAAAGCGCAATCAAGCATCACTATCCTCTATAGGTCTGATAATTGAGATAATCAACGTTCGTGTTTACGTGTACGTGTGGGTGGGTGTGGACTGATGGGACTAGCAAACTAAGAGGACTACGAGGCTAAGGGACTCAGGAAACTAGGGGGCTAATAGGACTAGAGGCTAAGAGGACTAGAAGGCTAAGTAGACTAGGGGACTATAATACTAACAGTAGTGTGAAACTTGAACCCAATTATTCAACTATTCAATCATTTCAGTTATTGTAAAAAAGAAGGAGATACAATTCTCCTCTAAGTATCATTCATCTATTAATCAATGGCAAGAAAAGAAATATTAGTTTCCACGTTTTGACCGATACAGGCGAAGATCTGATACCCTCGGAAAATACATATTTTACATCTGCGTCGCGCGCCTCCCGAGGAGTCGCGATCCATGGGCGTCTATATGTACACAGTAGAATAATTGCATAGTTGAAATAGTTGGCTAGTTGAATTAATAATTGCTGGATTCAACTTTCAAGTTTCACACTAGTCCTCTGAGTCCACACCCACACCCACTCGTTTTTAGGAGGAATAAACTAACAATTTTTTCATCAGTAGTGCACTTCTAATATTTCTTCTTAACTAATTTCACCTTTTCAGAAACACAATCAACATCACCAGGAAAAAAGGAACAAATACAGTATCATCACAGCCAACGTTTGGGAAGTTACCTAAACCTAATTACCAAAACATGGAATGTCAAAATCCTCTTATTGATAGGAACGGAGAAAAAGACATAGAGATAGGTGCAAAACGAGCAACTGTATATGATGCATCACCAGAACGCAAAGTAAGTGTTGTTGTGTTAATGAGTACTCGCTTAGTTTTAGCCAGAATGTAGATTTCTGATGTGCATGAGCTTGTCAGAAAAAGTTACGAAATGAAATAACTATTTTAGAAAGATCAAGAGAACAGTTAACTCTATCACTAGTAAATGTTGTGCTAGTCAAATCCGTTTTGTGAAACACGATCTGAAAGAGAGTGTTGAAGTTCTGGGGGTAGAAAGGAGAAGGCCTTTTGCGCATTGAACCACCTTGAGGGTGGAGATGTGGGCGCAGGATGAATCTCGTACCCTTAGCCACCTTCACATGCTATCTATGAAGAAATATTCATTCTCGAAATAAAATATTTCTGAAAGAGATTTAATTTTCTTCATTATTAGTCGAGAGCAGCTTAACAAATTGAACAAATTCAATGGTTGATTACGATAACAATCAACACTTTTTTAAGGATCATAGATGACCAGTTTTTTTTAATATTTAGTCTGCATCAGAGAATAAAAACCATATTAAACAATCTGCTCGTCAAGAAACAGGATCGTAAGTATTTGATTTATTTATTCAAAATATACATCTATCATTTTAGATCTTTATTTCATCGGAAAGCAATATTGCTTTTAATTATCATTGGTATTCTAAGCCTAATAACTATCATCAGTATTACAATATGGGTTATTTTCATTAAAAAGGCCGAAACAACAGTTGATACAACTACAATCGGTGCATCAACAACAGAAACAACAATCCTTACAACGTCGATGAATTCTCATCCAACAATAATGAATGGTAGAGTCTTTTTTTATAAAAGAAATAAATAAGAATTGACATATTTCTTGAGTTCAAAAGAATAAGCACCATACGTAAATTCCAAATTTGTAGCTCATTCACGGATTCATACTTTACCTAATGATATTTGAAATTATATAATCGTTCAGAAAAAACTAATAATGAAATACAAAACATATCTGTTACGAAATGGGAAATGCTATTTCTAAAATAGAACAAAAGTACTTAGTACCTGGTAGTATCATTTTCATAACAAAACAGTCGGGTTCTCTGTCTGGTATTTTGAGGTGAGGGTATATTAGAAGAATTATTCAACTCTAAAAGATGAGATTTATTTTTAATTGAAATGTTTTAAATCTTTATTAATTTATTTTGTTTTACACAAATTTTTCAATTCAAATCAGTTCTGTTATTAGAAAATATTCTAGAATATTTCCTTCTTCTTCTTCTTCTTCTTTTCATCAAAATCTTTTTTTTCATCATTTTCTAGTATCAAAATTTAACAAATGGCAACAAAACGCCATTACTATAGCTGGTGGAAATGGATATGGACAGAAATTAAATCAACTCAAGTACCCTGAAGGAATCTTAATTGATGAAAATAACAGTATTTACATTGCTGATCGTTCGAATGATCGTATTGTTCAATGGAAATGGGATACAAAGAAAGGACAAATCGTGGCTGGTGGAAATGGGGAAGGAAGTCAAATAAATCAATTGAATTCTGCAACAGATATGCTTGTTGGTCCAGAAAATCATTCGATCATCATTGCTGATCGTGGGAACAGACGAGTGATTCAATGGTTGAATCAAACTCAACAGATTCTCATTGATAATATTGACTGTTATGGTTTAGCAATGGATAAACATGGATTTATTTATGTTTCTGATCATGTGAAGAATGAGGTGACTCGATGGAAAATAGGAAAATACAAAAAAGGAATTGTAGTGGCAGGTGCAAATGGACAAGGGAATCAACTTAGTCAACTAAATTCTCCTACTTTTATCTTTGTTGACGAAGATCAATCTGTTTATGTATCAGATTATAACAATCATCGTGTAATGAAATGGAGAAAAGGTGCAAAAGAAGGAATAATTGTAGCTGGAGGAAATGGTCAAGGAGGAAATCTCAATCAGTTGTATCATCCTCAAGGAGTAATTGTTGATGATTTGGGTCAAATCTATGTGGCAGATAGTGGGAATCATCGAGTAATGCGTTGGTGTGAAGGTAGAGAAGAAGGTGAAATTGTTGTTGGCGGAAATGATTATGGAAATCAATCAAAACAATTGAGTGGTCCCCGTGGTTTAACTTTTGATGATGAAGGAAATCTTTATGTTGCTGATACGGGAAATTTTCGTATTGCAAAATTTGAAATAATTTTCTGAATAAAATTTTGGTGTCGAAAAAAAAAGTTTTCTATTGAATAAAAGAACAACGAAAAGTCTTCTGCGATTTTTCTCTGAAAAACTGAATTTAATTTGATAATTTTGATTAAAAAATTTCAACAACTAAATGTTAAATTCTTCCTCTTTTGTTGAAGTTTGTAGAAAATAAGAAAAGAAAATATTTTGTACTTTGAATTAAATTGAATAGAAGCTATTTCAGAAGAAGATTTTGTGTTTGATAAAATTCTATTTGAATATTTTTATTTGATGATAATAATCAAATGTTTTTGACTTTTCCCGCTAGATAAAATTTGAAAATTGTTGAAAGAAACAAATATAAAAAATATTTTCATATAGATGAAAACAAAATAAACTTTCGAAGGAAAAATGAACCAAGAAATCCAAAGCAAATAAAACAGTAACAAATCTTCGAAAATATTTGTTATATTTTTCACAGAAACTTAAATAAATATTTAATAATTATTTTATCATATTTAATTCAATTCTCTCAAATCAAGAGATACAACTGATCTTTGAATAACAAACTTTTTTCAAATGTTGTTTCATTTTTCAAATTGAACTTTCCTCTTTTTTATCAAAAAAAACAAAGGATTGATTAATATAAAATCAATCACGTTTTTTTGTGAAAATATTTTTGTTTTGTTCTTGTTTTTTTTATTGCAATTTGATGAAAATATAAACCATTTAAAGGTGTTTTTATTACTTTTTAATCCATATCGACAATTCAAAGTAAAACTTCGTACGAAAAACTTCTCATTAGAATAATTAAAGAAATGCTCGAATAAATGATGTGAAATATTTTTATGAAGAAATCAGGATAAAATTCTTTTCAACTACTATTTATTAATATAAATTTATCTGAAATTAATTTATTTTTTATTTTTATTAAAAATCATATACTGATATATAAATTTAACGATAACATTACTTCATGAATAGATAAAAACATTATTGATTATTTTATAGGATTGTAAATAATGATAATAATTTAAATCAAACAAAAAAAGATGAAATACATAAAAGATAAATTTGCATTGATTGATGATTCAATTTTACTGATTAAAAGTAAAAGATTATTAAAATGGTTAATTAGACGATTTTTATATGATAACAATGATAGTTTGAATAAATTCAAAGAAAAAAGAATATTGATTATTTTTTTTATAAATATTATTATCAAATGGTTAATTATTAGAATTATTTATATAATTATTATTAAATTAAAGATAAAATTAAAATTATTCAGGATTTCGTCAGTTATATTAGATTTTGTTGAATTGTTTCAAATCTTATTAAATAAAAGTGAGGGTGTGTTGATGTGAGCTGTAGGTACGGGTCACCGTAAGAAATAAACACCTTACCGTCACTCACATCCTAAACACTGGATATATTTCGATGAAATTAAAGATTTTACTACCAAGCCAATAAATTTAAAATATGATCTCTGATACAATAACATGCGCCAGATACTTTATAAACAAGTAATATTTTCAATTCTTTGGTTTGATAGCATGACCATTTATTTAACTTGAGTATACCCAGTGTCTATGAGTTATTGCACGCACACGCACAGACACCTCCATTGTAAGTCCAACGATCACTTTTATTAATCAACATGATCTATAGTCCTTCAACATGGATAGATCGAAATATATCAAAGTGTTTTTTATAATTTCTGACTAATTTGTTTTACTGATAATATAATGTTATTTGATAGTCGATGAAATATGAATTTTAATAACAGCTAACCTACTGCGAATCTTGAGGATGAGGGTGACTAGATAGAAATAGTTAACAGTAGAATCATACGACAGCTTTTCATAGTCGCTTTAATTAACATAATTCTTGAGTAAAAGTCAATTGTTAGGGTGTGGGTGGGTGAAGGTGTAGGTGTGAATATAAGATGAGTACATTAACTACACCCACCCACACCCACCCTCTAAGCATTGCTGAACTATACGATCCATTGATCGGAACGTGAGATTTCACTAGTTCAACGCATTATGTACGGCAAGCACACGCAGCATCTGTGTTAAAACACAGATGCGTATTAGTTGTTGATGAGAGAAATAGTGGTAGCACAAAAACAGCTGAAATATATTATTCATCAACAGAAAAATAGATAGTAATTAACAGAAATACGCACAATGCACGAAGTTATCAAACAGCATCAGTATTATTAAATGGAAAGGGTGTGGGATTATTAACTTCATCGGACACCCACACCCTCAGGATTTAAAATGTCTGTGTGTAAAACGAGAGTGCTTGCGTGTAGTCTCCCATTTTCAAGCAGACCGCAGCCATATTTGTGAAAGACATAGCCATATCAGGATGTGTTTTAGGAAGATTTTTTTGTAATATTTCATGTGCTTTTTTGTAAAACGAAAGTGCTTTCGAGTATTCTCCTATCTCTGAATACACAACACCAAGGTTGTTGTAAGATATGGCCAAATCATAATGATTCGAAGGAAGAACTTTTAGTTGAATTTCAAGTCCTTTTTCCAAGGGCGA